ATTAGACCATCTCCTGGTCCCAAGAAGTGATTTTTTTCCCCCCCAAACTAACTTCCTTCTTTCAAAGTCAGAAAATGGAATACAATCAAATTAAAAGTGTCATTATGGGGTGCCAGAAATTTGGATGAGGTGAAGGTCCAGACTCTATCCTGGGAGTGAGAGACCATGCTCACTTCTTTGGGGGCCCCCAGCACCGAGTCGATTGGCAGAAGTCACACAAAAGTGTGAGAGGCCCATAAATAGTAGGTACACGGGTCTTACCCTTGACTAACTACAAGGTCATCTGGTTGTTTACAGATTCAGTCGACTGTGATTTAGTATGTGCGTTCATGGAAAGGCAGTTGACAAGCATTTTGCTTGTGCAGACTACCCATGGTAGCAACCTGGAATTTTCACATTCTGGGATTGTGGCAAGTCTCCACTTCCGCCAGGAAACTATTGCTCTCATCCACTCCCACCAGTGCTGTTAAAATTTTGCTTCCACCATCTTTGAGTGAATCTTTATTCCTTTTCACTCTAAGGTAAGAGGAGGCAGAGGTTTATAAATCATGCTCGAATTAGGGACTTCGTTAAAATTCAGACTTTCAGGACCAGCATTTAGTGTAATGGCTGGGTTGCTGGACTCCCACGTAGTCGACCGCGGTTTGAGTCTCGGACCCAGTGGCTTGAAACTCACGCTGGGCACATGTGCGTGCATACCCAAGATCCTGAGAGGAGAATGGAGGAGAAGGGATTGCGGCGTGGCCATCCCCCCTGGGGGGTGATTTCTTGCTTTCTGTCTCTCCGTCTCTCTGTGTCTTTCTGGTGAGTGCAAGAGCCCTATAGCAAAAACCTCTGAAAAAAAAAAATCAGACTTCCGATTTCTACTGGATCAGCAGGTCATGTGGTGGATCCTGGGAATCAGTATTTAACCAAAGCTGCTCAGACAAATCTGAAGACCAGTTGGATCTGAATTCCATTATTTGTCACGTTCTTCTCTCTTCAGAGAGGTGGAAAAGGGGAATTGGTAAACTAGATTGTGCCCCAAGGAGTACCTATGGTCTGCTTTCTCTGCCTGGATCCGCATAGCAGGGCCCATAAACTGAATCAGTCTCCCTCTCTTTCTCCCTCTGTTTTTCCTTCTTTTTTTCCCTGCACCGATGTCCTGAGTGGGTGGGTCCCCGGATTCAGACTGAATGAAATGGAAAGGAGTGGAATAAGAAATTCTATTTAGCTTTGAATTTAAGCCTTGTGTTCCAGTTTTTATCATTTCATTCGGTTCTGGGGGCTGTTGAACTTTGGTTTAGCGTGTAATACAGAACACACTGATCCCAGTTCCCCTCTGGTCAGTGTGCTTGTGCGGGGTTCCCATGCCCGAGATGCTCAGGGCAGATTTCAGGTATCCTCATCTCGCTGGATGGCACACCATTTAATAGCATCAGAAGCTCACCTTTTGCTCTAATATAGATCACCCCTGTAATTTCTCCCAAGGCAGAAATGTTAGGGCCAAGAGCAAAACAGAAAGGCTTTTCTTCCCTTTGGTGCAATAACCGGAGCCTGGCTCTGAGAAGCATTTCTCAGGACTCTGGTGATTACCAAGTTAAGAGGAAAGCAATGCCAAGTGATCGGTACACTGAAATGTCTCACGGTTAAGTGTTTCTAGATGTAATTGTGAGATCAACAGAACCAGGGCACTCACCGGAAGAATTGCTCAGAAATTGGTTTGTGTTGGGCTTTGGAGACTGAATGCTGAGTGGAGAGGAGCAAGCTGCGTGACGCACAGCACAATCAGATGGCCCCGGTTGCCCGGGAGGGAAGGAGGACAGAGGAGGACCGTCTCTGCTCCTGCCCTGCCCCTGGCTTGTTTTGGATCCTGGGGTGCAGTGTTTAAGGTGGTCACACTTAATAGCTCTGGAGTGCCTTCCCACTGCCCCTATTAGGGCCTCTGCAGCAGGACTGAAGCCATGATGGCAGGATTTCTCTGGGAACAGCCTCAGCAGGTTTCTCTGCAAAAACAGCAAAGAGTGGCGCTTCGTGGAAGCACAGCATCTACTTCCAGCTGTTGGCACTTAGATTTGTTTTTCCATAAGGTGGCTTTATGGTTGGCTCTCACCTGGTCACTCTTATTAGAATTAGTGCCCACATTTGCAAAGTAGCTGGCTAGACTGTGTGAGTAGGTAGGTGGGGGGAGCCAATGTAAGTCCATGAACAGGTCAAGATCACCTGTTCAGCCCAGACAGGCTGTCAAACCTACTACCGGAACCTCTTCCTAGCATCTTCCAATACCT